TTACCTTTGTTCAGTAGAGATTGCCAATTTCAGACCTTAAATCTTCCAAATGATTCTAGTGAAGATGCACCTAGTGCCTCCTTTCAATTTAATTTCTTTCCAGCGATTAAGTCAGCAATCAGAATACACTAGATGGTTTACAAAAATCCCAGAAGTGTGAGTTCGGGCATCAGCTAATCAGTGAAGAGCCATACATTCTGTTTTGGCAATGATTTATTCCCGAGATCGAGGATTTAAAGCTGGAATAAAGAGAATGCTTGGTGAATTTCATCAAGGGGAAAGACATTATTGCCCTTTTTCCTATGGGATTTAGGAAAAGCTTAATATACCAGTTATTCCCGTTAGTGGCGCATTACATACATCACAACCAAATAGCAGCGATTGGTTAAATGATTAAAAAGTACCCGCCTACTATCGAGCGAACGAATTCTAACGTTGCGAGATCAGTCGGTTTCTATGAAGTGAACCCGGCTGATGAATCAGGCTAGTAAAACGCACCGATATACAAGTTTTCCATTTTAAAAAGGATATATGCAGCTTAATCATAAAAACATAACCCCCATCAATATCTGTAGGAAATTTGCTGTGACAGCCGTGATGTATTTTCCTAATTCAAGTCAGTCTGTTTAAGCTATTAATGTTTCTATCTTATATTTAAAAAAACGTCCCAAATATTTAGCCAACAGTTTTTACCTTAAACCACAAAACGTACCTCAAATTTTCAGCCGACAACAACATTTTCGCTCCATGAATTACAATTGTGTCGTGTCTAGACCACTTAGCCACTAGACATTTGGCAAGGGCCGATTTTGTCCATTAACAGGTGGGGGTGACATTTTACTGGGCAGAGGCTGAGAGGCGTACTCAGAGCTAAGCACAGTGTACTCATAATAATGTAATGAGGAGTTTGGACATGTGACTGGAGCTCTATTGGGACCAGAGTTGTTGAGGCTGCGCTGGTCCACACCTGTTACAGCGGCAAAAGCTGCTATTACCGGAGAGAGGAGAGAATCTGGCCCCTCAGGCTCCGGCCGTAAAGAAACAGCAGAGAATGTTTCCTCCACAGGCAACAACTGTGAGAAACTACCAACATCTCTTTGCTCTTTCTTGCTCTTTATCTTCCTATCTCTCTCTCTCATTCTTTCTCTCTCTCGTTTTTCTCTCTCCTCTCCTTGCTTCTCTTCCTTTTCTCTCTTTCTTTTTACCTCTATCTCCCTTTCTTTCCCCCTCTCTCTCTTATTCCCTCTCTCTCTCTCTCCCTTTCTTTTTCCCCCTCTCTCTCTCCCCCTCCCTCTCTGCATTTCTTCACCTCTCTCTTTCTTTCCCCCTTTCTCTGTTCCACCCTCTCTCTTGCTTTCTTCCCCCTCTCTTTTATCCTTTTCTATTTCGTTTTACCTCTCTTCCTATCTTCCCCTCCCCTCTTCCTCCTTCTCTCTCTCTCTTCCTCCCTCTCTCTCTCTCTTTCTTTCTTCCCCCTCTCTTATCTTTTCTGTTTCTTTTTACCTCTCTTTTCCTTTCTTCCCCCCTCTCTCTCTTTCTCTTCCTCCTTCTCCTGTCTTTTTCCCCCTCTCTCTCATCCTTTCTTTCCCTCTCTCTCTTCTTCCTCTCTCTCTCTCTCTCTCTCTCTCTCTCGCTTCCTCCTCTTTCTTATCCTCTTCTCTTCTCTTTCTTCCTCCTCTCTCTCCCTCCCTCTCTCTTTCTTCCTCTCTCTTTTTGTCTCTTTCTTTCTTTCTCATTCTCGCTTTCTCTCCTCCATCTCTCTCTCCCTTTCTCTGTGTCTCCTCTGTTTCTCAGTCACCGTAACCTTTTTCTCTCTCTCTCTCTCTCTGTCTCCATCTTGGACTCTTTCTGTCCTTATCCCCCCACCCCCACCTTCCCCTCTTTCTCTCTTTCTCTTCCCCCCTTCTCTCTCCCTCTCTCTTTTCGGCCTGGAGCCTTCACCTCTCTCAAGCTCTCTTAAAAATATACGGCCTAAACCAACAATCACTATCATTACTCATTCCAGTGCAGTTGTCCATCAGTTTGATTTGGCTCCTCTGTTGTTTTTCGTTTGGCGTTTAACGGTCGACTTTCCTCTTGTTTAACTAACATTTGCTCAGTCTTAATCACTGTCTGCCGCTCGACTCACACTCACTCATGGTGTCTGTCAAAAGTCAAAAGTCCACGAGCTTGGACGTGGAAAAGTATGAACCGTGCGTATTATAGATTTGGGTTTAAACATTACAACATATAATATTTACTGGTCCAGAAGGAAACGTTACTTCAGAATAATATTATTCAAATAGAAGCACAAAGTAGTAAGAAATGACTTAAGTAAGAGGAAAAGTATTTGGGAAATTCACTATTCAAGTAAGACTAAATTCACTGGAAAAAAAACAATATGTAGGTAAGTTAAAATGAATTAAATTAAGAACATTTGACTTTATGTGAGTAAATTCAACTTGACAAGTAAAATAATCTACCAATGGAATAAGTGTGTTTTTCTTAATTCAAGCAAGGTGCAAAAAGTTGTTGTTTTTCTTATTTTAAGTGTAGCAAGATGTATTTTCATATTTTAAGTACAAAAACTCTTGTTCCACTGGCAAATTATTTTACTTTGACTTGAAATTCACTCAAATCATGATGATAAAACTTTCTTAATGCAAGTCATCGTAATCTGACTAGATTTAGTTTTTTGCAACATCTGATTTATAATTTAAAGTAAATGTATTTCAAAGGACAAGACATTAAATAATGCTCAAAACTGGTATTTACAAGGGATAGACACAAAAGTGAGACAAATCTGTGTATCATTCAAATGAAAAAATGGATAATGATTCATTTTTTCAGTTTTCGATTTTGTGTTTAAATGAATAATGCATTTCCGTGACTTAAACTGCGATGCCGGACTGAGCCAGGACTGAACCAGAACTAAAACAGAACTGAACCAGGAGTGTCGGGATGGGCCCGGAAGTGCACCCACGTAGACTGTCGGGTGATCAGGACTGAGACTGGGACCAGGACTGAGACCAGGACTGAGACCAGGACTGAGACCCGTTTAGTCCTGGTTTAGTCCTGGTTTAGTCTTGTTTCAGTTGTGTTTTAGTCCTGGTTCAATCCTGGTTTAGTCCTGGTTTAGTCCTGGTTTAATCCTCGTGGTTCAGTCCTGGTTCAGTCCTGATTCAGTCCTGGTTTGGTCCTGGTTCACTCCGCATGTGGTACAAAAGTCTGGCATCACAGTTTAAGTCACAGAAACGGGAAATCATTATCCATTATTTCCATTATTCATTTAAACACAAATTGAAAACTGAAACATTTTCTTATTTTTGGTTTTATATTGAAAAATGAAGGAAAAAATGATACATGGATTGAGACAAACTAAATCATATCTGAAGGAGCGGTGCAAGAAACACAAAAGTTCAAATCATTTATTATTGTCAATATAAATCTTTTTCTCTCTTGTAGAGCTGCTCGTTGTGGGAAGAGCAAAACAAAACCTTTTACTCAAATACGATTACTATTACTTCTATAAAAATATAACTCAAGTAGGAAAATGTTTAGGTTTATGTCTAAAAATAACAGTTGACTTTAAAAAATATAAATTAAAGACATCTCAAGGTTGAACAGAGCATTTTGAGCTTTGGAGACGTAGAAACACAACTTTGGAGAAATGTTTGATGAGGTAACGCTCTAACATGACTCAAAGCGTAGTATAGAACTTTTAATCTCGATATCACATTTTACAGAGTGGTGCACAGACTTTTACTGAATGTTGCCCTCACAGTGGTTGTCAGTGGCTCTCTGGTGCCTCCGGAGTGATTGACAGCTGGCTCTCCTGCACACAGCTCTTTACGAGATAAAGTAAAACATACGTCTAGTTTAGCGCTGTTGTCTTTACGTGCAGTAGAACTACAGTTACATGACGTCCCTCCCCAGACATTTACAGGGCCACCTATGACGGCCGCTTGTTGTAATGTGGTGCTGGGCTGTAATTTTCTCATGTTGGCTAATACATACAGAGGGATAGACTAACCCACAAGAAGGTACTCAAGTAAGGATGTAGATTTTAAAGGTGTACTATGTAATTTTCCTGTTAGAGTTTGCTGCTTTGCTTGTCTCTATGGAGGTGTTGCTTTGCCTGGAATGTTCTAAAGTATGGCATTAGACTCTATTCATTCATGGAGACAAGTATGCCACCAGAACAAGTTACAAATGATATATCTGTGGAGAAGTGAACCTAGTGTTGTAGTCAAGACCACACTAATCGAGACCAAGACCAGTCCAAGACCACAGGGTCCCGAGACCAGGACAAGACCAAGACATCGAGACCAAATCAAGACCATTTATTTGTATTTTACAGTTATTTTGGCACATATATATCAATGTTTTTATAAATCTATCTCCAATTTTATCACTTGTCGAGTATCAGACCTTGAGACCGAGACAAGACCGAGTCCAAATGCCTTCAAGACAGAGACAAGACCGAGTCCAAACACTGTTGAGTCCGACACGAGACCAAGACTGCAAAAAAACGAGTCTTAAGACCAAGACCGGTCTCGAGTACTATGACACTAGGGGAACCCAGTCACAGTAAAAAATAATGGTATACTCCATAGTATTTTTGCTATAAAACCTATGTGTGAATAAATAAGATGGGTAAGTTTAATGCCATACAGTGGAACATTTGATGAAGACAAGCTTACCCTCCACCAGAAAGATTGCCTAATGCACCTTCAAGTAATATTCAAGTAGAAATAAAAATGTGTAAAACTGGGACTAAAACCAGGGCTAATACCAGAAACATACCAGGACAAATGTGAATGTACTCTTAGTATTTTACTCTTATTTTACTTTTAGTATTTATTATGTAATTATCTAGATTCAGACAAGAACAATAAATCAGGAATGTGCTCTGTGTACCTGTAAAGATCTTAGCTGAAGTAGCACAGAACTTAAGTGGACTAATTTACCACAAAAGGATTTTGACGTTCTGCTCACATCTCCTGCTCACTTGTTCTTAGGATGTCCCGGAGCAAAGAAAACCGAGTTCCTGACGAGTGTTCTGGATGCACTGTCCACAGACATGGTCCACGCTGTGACCGACCCTGCGTCTGCCGGAAGGTACGCCCTTTTAAATCAAACTATTTCTCATTATTTAACACTGAGGTGGTATATATAAGCAGGGGCATTGGACTGGGGGGTAAAGGTTTAACGAGGGCACAGAATTTGGTGCTACAGCTCTGTATACAAGCTCAGCCGGGGCTCACAGCTAAATACAGGAACACCACAATGTCAAGTTATAATAGACACACCTTATCTCCAATACTTTTGAATGTTTTTTTTTATCTGCCTAGCATTTATACTTTGAATTTTAGACCCTTAAACAATATATTTTGAAACCATCACTATGAACAGTGTTGGTTTCTTTTTAACTCACTGTATTGAATAGATTTTACACTTGAGTAAATAGTAAATAAGTATATTTTCAGAATGTTTCTTGGTGTATTTTTTTCATCCAATCAAATTCTGGGAGCTTTTTCTGAACATACAAACTGTTGAAACTGTTTTGCTCAGTGGAAGAAGAAAGTGGATTCACACAGCAGTTCTTTGGATCTGCCAATTAGTATTTTCAATTACAATTAAATGCACTACAGCTCTACTTTCTTTCTTGACCAAGGCCGCAGGCTCAACAGTCTTGGATGTGTGTATCTTTGACTGCATGTATTTGCATCAGCAGAATATAAACTTACTGATTGTGTTTTCCAGAATGGCAGAGCCGGACCCAAACCACACCCTGGAGGAGCGGGTGGTGCACTGGTATTTCAGTCAGCTCGACAAAAACTCCAGCGGCGACATCGGCAAAAAGGAGATCAAACCATTCAAACGGTTTCTGCGCAAAAAGTCCAAACCCAAAAAGTGCGTCAAGAAGTTTGTGGAATACTGCGACATCAGCAACGATAAGGCCCTCTCCCTGCAGGAGCTGATGGGCTGCCTGGGCGTTACCAAGGATGACGGTAAGAGGAATGCCAAGTTTAAAATTTAAAAAAGAAATCCATCGCGCCGGGGATGTTCTACATGTATCTCTATTGGCAGAATCTTGAACAGTCACATTAGCAGGGTGACCAGATTTTTAAAATAAAAAATTGGGGCATCCCTGGTTTGGGTTGGTAATAATAAAATTGTGAAACTAGTGCGTAATTAAGGAAGACTGTTATGCAGACAGCACTAATATCAGTCAGTATAGTCACATTTTCTTTGTATTTTGGTCATTTTTAAGCAGCTTTTCTGTATTTTATCCAAACAAATGACAACATTTGCCTCTCTTTATTGTATGTAGCTGTCAAATTGGTCAAAAATAGGGACACTTGGGACATTTCTTGTATAAATCTGAAAAAATCTGCTGGGACAGGGGACACAGGACTCAAAACCTGGACTGTCCCAGAAAATAGGGACGTCTGGTCACCCTACACATTAGCAAACTTTGCCAAAAAATTTTAATATTGTCTGAAAACTCTAGAAAAAATACAAAATAGATTTAAACAACACATTTGCAGGAGCCTGTGATCAATATGAGCATTCATGTTCCTGTTAAGAGTTTGATTTTCAACCAAAATGTGAGTTCACCTGTTGTGGTTCCACATTAGCCAGTTCTTTATGGTCAGATTGTGCTAAAATAAAGTTCAGATTAAAGACTAACCAATGCTTAGACAAAGCATGCCTACGGTTAGCATCACGCCCTCAGGGAATCAGATGCAAGTATCAGAGCTTCATTTTTTTAAGTTTTAACTAAGACAATTTATGTACAGAAACAACCATGTGAAAGTTACACCATGTACCTCATGAAAAACAAAAATAAATACTTGAATTCAGATGGAACATTAATACAAACTAAAGATAAATAGTGTTAAACAAATAAAGAACAATAAAAATACTAATACAGGAGTGCAGGAGATTATTGTAGTTGATAATAATTGTTGTAGATTTATTAGGAGATGCAGGAGAAGTTTGAACCAGACATGAACGCTCAAGACAGTGTGACAGTTTTGCAGTTTAGTTTCATCTAGTCTAGTCTAGTCTTGTAGGGAGTATTATACCTCTGATGATGTAAGGCAAGGTAACAAGGACTGAGATGGCAGTGTAGGGCTGACATAGCACAGAAATGCTGATTATCAATAATATAGTTTATTATTTTACATTCTGTATTAAATTTTGTAAATGTTTTTAATCCCATATACACATGAGTTTCAGAGAAGGGTTGTCAAAATTATAAATAAACTTAAAAAAACCAAACAAAAACAGCCATTCCCATGTGGATACCAAATGATTCCACAACCTGAATAGCAACTTAAATTCTTCACTGGTTTTCTCATTTGGCTTACTTCTTTTGTACGCTAGATTAAAGTTGATTGCCTGTTTTTTATAAGAAGTAGCCAAAAGGAAAATCTGAAATTGTTGAAGCTGATGTTTTATATTAGTGTCGAGGTCCATTATGAATCCAAACACACCACAGAAATCTGCATTAGATTACACTATCACTATCAACACTTACTACATCAAACCTGCAGCCAACACTATAGGAGAATGTGTTGACAAAAGCACAATGCATGTTTAAAACTCTTGTTCTAAAGCAGTCACCGAACATACTTGTCTTATTTATGACTCTTATTATTTGTTCTTTTACAGCGGCCAAAACAGGCGACGGCTTGCCCTCCAGTAAACTAGTACGTAAAACATCTCCTGTTACGCACTCACTAATCTTCAATTAATGGTCGTAAAACTAAACAGGGGCACTTTTCAGCACAGCTTGTATTTGCACTCAATAAATGATTCTTGTCAGACAGCAGGTCATCTCAGGCTCACATTAGTAAAACATTTTGTGATCTCCATAACACCGTGCATTAAAGACATAGGAAGAAATCTGTCTGTCTGCGTGTATCTGCTGGTGTTACAGAGTTGTCTGGATGTTCCACAGTATGTCATTAAATCTCCATGGAGATAAACCTGTGACCTGACCAAGCCAAGCTCCAGGTCATATCTGTGAAGAAGTGTCTCTGCTCACAGAAGCAATGCATGGTATTTTGGAGAAAGAAATGTGTAATTAGATTAATTCAAGAAAAGTTTAATGCCATATAGTGGAACATTCCAGCTAAAGCACTAGCTTCTCCATGGAGACAAGTAACAGAACCTCCACCAGAAATGCCACATGCAACTTTAAGTTTTATCTTTCATTCAGTTTTATTCTCACCACAAAAGACTGAACATCTCATTGTTTATATAAGTTTCCTTCTTGACACAAATGTCTCTGTTTCCCAGAATCCTTTGAGAAAACAAGGCTGAACCGCTGTGACTGCCTCCTGTGTGGAGATTGTGCCCACGCCAATCGGCAACAATGGAAACCATAGTATTTGCACTTTGTACTTTAAAAGAAATGTAAATTCACTTTGTAGAATAAGGTATTTAAACAGACTGCTGAATCTGTGAATGATGTAGTTAGCTTTTTATGTCCTGACAAATTATTTAACACATACAATGTATGTGTCTTTGTGTTTCTAAAAGTATTCTTGTACAAGTTGTTGATGTTTGCTGTATTTTGCCCTGTATTTTCCTGTTGATGTTGATGTAGTTTTTGCTCCACAGATAATAATGTACTGACCTATAGCATCTCCCTGTGCTTTGTACAGCAGTTTACAACTCCTTTAATCAGAGCAGATCATACAAAATGTCCACATGTATTTGTGTCATTAGAAATAAAGTCTCTTTTATACGTGTGTGCTAATGTCTTTAAGATGCTTAATTAGGCCGTGGTATGCCTCCGATTGTGCCTAATCTCATTAGTGTGATATTAGGGCCTCTTATATAAATCATAACACAGTGTTTCTGTCTTTAATAAAGCACCTTGTTTTGTGTGGGAGCCAAGCCTTACTCATACATAGCAAACACAGTGTCTCATCTCATTCTGACAGAGACTGCCAGCTCCCCCCGGGCCACACTCTGCTATTGGAAACATGAATGATACTTACATCTGTACGTCCCATGTTTCCACGGCGACTGAAGACAGACAAATGGACTGATCTCTACTGTGCCAGGGTTTATTAGCGGGACCACTATAGGAGCCACAACACGGGTTTGTGTGTTAGCTGTACTTATTAAACAGCCACAGCTAAGCACTTGAATGGATTCTTTCTGCAAGAACAACATGGGCTCTGGGCGGCCTCCACTTCACACTACTGTACATTGTTCAGGCTGATTACAGAGACTTAAGAGAAAATCTGTGGCTTTTCACACACTGAGTCCCCTATAGCGCCACTGACCTCAGACTGACCCGCTTACTCAGGCTTAGCCCTAATTTATGATTAACACGTTAGTCTCCTTTTTGTGATATAATCCCGTCCAATGGTCTGGTTTTAGCACCCCAGGACAACTGAGAGCTGTAGCCTGCCTCTGAAAGTGGATTAAAGCTCACCTCTGCCCTTCTTAAGCACCTCAGCATCCACAGCAATAGAAAGTTCAGACGCACTACAAGGCCAAAGGCTTACTCTTACCGGCCTGCACCATTGTTTCACAAGTACCACATGAGTTATAATGTAGTTTTGAGCATTTGGAATGATCTTAAAAAAACGTTCAATATAGTTTTAGTAGAAAACACAACCAAAAATCAGTTAGTTCATGGGAAATAGAAAATAAAGCACAAAACAAGGTTGTGGACAGGCTTATTAATGATGGAAGAAGCAGGACTGATGGGGAAATTGGATAAAATATATAAGCAGCAACTAAAGCAGCTCATCTCTGCCCCTCCTGAGCATCAGTATCAGCATCCACAACAACAGAAAGTTCAGACAAAGTGACACTACAAGGCCAAACTCTTATTTAATTAATTAGTTTAGTTAGTTTAAAGAAGACATTTTGTGGTTGTGTCTGCTATTTATAATCTCTGACACCCCAGGATCATTATCTTATAGTTTTGCACATTTTAAATTGCAATATTCATCTAAAACGACGTATTAAAAGAAACAAGTCTGCTGATTTCCTCGTTAGAAAACTGCGGTGCCCAACGGGAGCAGACGTCGCTGTAAATGTCATCCCAATAAAAAGCCACGCAGCTGTCGTTTTCATACTGGACCAAACTTTCAGTCTATCTTTAGAAGAGGACACAACCAAAAAACTTCAAAATATAATACTGACTTTTTAAATTGATGCCATATGAATTATAAAAAGTCAGATTGGCAAAGAAAATATTATCTGATTTTATTTCTTGCAAAGAATTAAAGCGTTTTTGGCTTTCAGTACTACAGTATGTTGGCACCTATTGCTATTCTAATGTCTGTTTTGCATTACAATTGAGAATAAAATTATATGGTGCCTCTTTTTTATACAACTTAAGGTGGTGACTCTATTGACGTGCACGGGCAACACTAGTATATGGGAAATAGTAAGAAAACAGACAGTTGACAAAGCTGTGGACAGGCTTGTTAGTGATGGGAGAAGCAGGGTTGGATAAATGATGTAAATTATGTAAAATATATGGACATTTAAGCGAGTGAGACATTGAGGTTAAAGTTGGACTAATTGGTGGTTAAATTTGTAGACAGCAGTTTTTCCTTCCAGTCATAGTAATGATCAATAATAAAGCTGTGGTCTGAGAGAGTGCTGATCTGAAGAACAGATGCTTCTGTTTTTCAGACCAAATAAAATGTGTTCAATTACAACACCAGACCAGGGGTATTTAAAACCTTTGCTCTTTACTGGATTTATGAGGAAATGTTTGCAAATAATTTTGGCACATTTATAGTTTTTTATTACTGAGACGAGGTCCAAGACGCAGGATTTTAAATTAGCGCTTATTCTGTAAGATCTATTGACTTCCAGGAACCAACACATAAACAAAGAAGAAAAATTGACTTATGAAAGGAAAAGACAAGTTTATCTCCGATTAGAGAGACAGGAGTACACATCGACTATGGAAAGTGATAGGAGTGATGAAATGCAGAACTTATTTATGTCGTACATGCAAATATTGTGAATTACAGTTATTACATTTTAGCCAGGAAATAAATAAAATAATGCTTTTTTTGTTGTTGTTGTTGTTGTTGGACTGTAAGTGGGCTTCATCTCTGCAAACTGAACTCTTATTTAGCCTGGAGGAAAGCCCTTTCTGCTTGCTTCCATAGGGATGTGACCGTAATATTGACAGTAAGACATAAAACTAGGGATGTAACAATAATCAAAATATCTTGATATCATATCGTCAAAGTTCTCACAATAATATTGTGGATCATCACAATATATTGAATTACAATTCTTTTTGCTTAAATTAAGAGTTATGGTGCAATAGTCAAAAAGACAGAGGGAACTGCATAGACCATGATCCTTTGCTCCATTTCAGTGTAGACTTTAAGAAGAAATAACAGTTCTAAGCACTTTTAAGTCTTGGTTCTTGTCAAGGCATTTTAAGAGGAAAAAGTAGCATATTAACAGTTTTAGCTGTTTAGCCTCCACAAAATATCACAATAAGTGTCGTACCTTGAGATGTATATCGTGAAAATATCGTACAGAGAGATTTGGATATTGTTACATCCCTAATCGCCTACCCACCATATCGTGAGCTTCCCTATGATATCGCAATAAATATCGTACCATGAGGTTCATACCGTGACAATATCGTATTGTGAGACTTGGATATTTTTACACCCCTACATAAAACTGATCTCCATGAAGAAGGTCAACTTTATGTTTACATATAATCCTGAAGGTGACATGTCCCCTCCACAAATACTGTACCTTTAAATAAAATAATCTGTATTTTCAGATAAATGTGTTTGTATAGTAATGTAATTATTAGAATAAAAAAGATTCCCTTTGTTTATAAATGAGGAGTAACAATAATAGCTGCTAAATTTAATAGCCGATTGCAGTAATGCCAGTATTTATTTATTTGTGTATATATGTTTTTTGACAATATACGTTCTCAGTTGAGGTAAGATTACACCTGGGAGCTGATATTATGTATTACGAACATGGTCTCAGCGGAACTGTGTTGATTTGATTCCACATTGTTCATTTTGACAGACATGCGCCTCACTTGAAATTCATGGACACAGCCACATTCCTAATTGGAGCTCATGTTGTGGCTAGAATCTCATTGCTGGTGATTTTAGCCCCGCGCCCAGAACAACATTTGCTCTTCCCAAACATCTCCGTGGTAACAGGTGAACCAGTGTCACAGCCTCAGTCTTCATTTTCCTTCATTAACTCCGAGTCCAGTGCCAGACCGTCCACACAATGCTACTGGCTTGTCATGTGTGATTTCTGCACGTAAACACCTTTTACGATCTGGCCCAATGTCAACGTTTTCAAATATGTTCCCCTTGGACTGATGCCTGCGCTGATGGAGGAGCTGGAGACATGGATCCAAAATCGGTCTGGTCCAAATCGTGAGGTTTGTCCTTCTCTCCCTCTCTCTCTCTCTCTCTTTTTCACTTGCTCGTGTGCAAACAGTGTCCTGGGACAGACTTAGCATTGAGGAGGTTTGTGGGCACAGACTGTGGATTTAAATGGGCAGAGGAGGGTACCTGATCTCACCACGATGCCTCTGGGGACTAAAGGATCATGAAGACGTTACTGTCAGAAATGATCAGCTTTTAAACACATGTGGAAATATTAATACGTGACATTGTACAGAAAAAACATTTAAAGCTACTATTTGTAATTGGACCGGCCCTGTCCTGAAGTATTCTTACATAACCACTAGATGCTATTTACCTCACTGGTGTCTCATAGTGCTCCAACTTTGGCCCGAAAGAAGAAGCAAGCTCAGGTTAATCTGAAATAAGGCCAGGTGAGGGAGGGGGGAACAGGTTTCACATATTTAAAAATATGTACAGATGATAGCTTTAAGGAATAAACTTATGTCCAATTCAATGGCAAGATCCTTTTTTTTTTTATTGATTAGTTTATTTATTTATTTGTAAAGGGACTGCATATATTAATGAAAATTTAAAATGTAAATATGTAAAGATCATAGCCATTTCCATCTTAAGTCACTTGGCAGGTTGATGTCAAATCATCTACAGCATTGTTTCCCAAAGACTGACATTTCTTTTGGGTCGCCTTGTCATGATCTGCATATAGAGCTGTAATATACAGGGCTACATTAATGTCCAAATAAGCGATTTATGGATCCTTTTATTGCTGCTTCAGTTACTGTTTTTCATTGGTTAAACCTTGAGTAATACTAATAGTTCAGAGAGACACGATCACTCAGTAAACAATAAAATATCCTCATTAATGTTCAATTATGGTCAAATCCACCTTTATTTTGTGATTTACGAATAATGTCTATTGACTTGGGTCGTGAAGGTTTGTGACTTTTAAAATATGGGTCACCAGAAACAAAGTTTGGGAAACACTGATCTACAGGACAGAGAAAAGTACAGCAACAATACACCATCACAGTACACCATCCCACTCACTATACATACAATCAATTTCAGACAGTTTACATGAAGTTCGAAGTCAAGAGTTAAAGAGTTAAACCAACAATCCCTTAATATAAAAAAAGAAATCATTTTGTTAAACATGGTGACATATTTAACGATTGAACAACCGCTGTTTTAAAGTTTCAGAAAATGTTGTCAGTGTAGAAAGTTCTCATATATGAACAGGTACTGTGTTTCATATTTGACCTGCTTGATAAGCAACAT